TGACGAATTTTCTCGCCACTCACACACAGACAATCTCACACATGCCCATACATGCATAAGAGAGGGGAGAGAGGAGACAGAGTCCAAACTGCACACAGGTGAAGATAAGCAGCGGAAGACAATCATGCACARCTGGGGAGAAAACACACAGTGTTTCTCACTCTCTGACACAACTCCCAACAACCAATCACAAGAAAGAACCTGCGAAGATCACAATTGAAAATGTCACTGATGATGAGCCACTCACACAATTATCGTAACAGAGTTTGTTCCAGTATCTCGCCACACTCAGAACTCACACCCCACTCTCTATGCTACACCCAGTTAGTAGCGCTGCATCAGAACAGCCTCCCAGAGGCCAGCGCCAACCACCCTGATGAAGAATACGTCCTGCRAGGAAGTCTTCACTGCCRATGGACAACTCTGACGAAGGGACAGGCAGCTATGGCTGCCACCACCCACGCACCACCACTGTAGAGCCTCGATACAGCCCGGCCACACGCAGATACCCCCAGGGGTAGATGCGCTGAGGATGCCCCAGCTATGGCAGACTCAGAGAGGGCCGRCTATGGCTGCTGTCACGGCGCGTCTCAGGATGCCGCCTGTAGACAGATACCGCCACCCACTTGCTTGGCTTCTCCAACGCTGCACGCGAGAAAATGAACTGCCAAAAGTCCTGAACCGATGGGCCTAACCTATCTATAGACTCTCTAGACCTAGACCAGACGGACTGACCGACCGGTACCGTTGCTGTTTCGGCCTCTCGGCCTCTACCGGACCCGGCTATAGGCTATAGGACCGTCTAGCAGCATAGGCGGCTTAGGGCCTGTCTGTTCCTAGGGGTAGCCCGGGCCTGCTATAGGCAGTTAGGGTAGCTGTAGGAATTCGGGTTAGTACTGGGCCTGTATTTTCCCAGATTTCCAGATCTGTCCCTCACGAATTTCCTTACAGGCAGGTCTCTCGGTTAGCCCTCAGCCAAACAAAGTTACGAATCTAACCCTACCGGTTAGTGTACAGCCTCGCAGGCAGTCTCGGCAGTAGAAATCAGCAAGTCATTGCAGGCTTACCCTCCCCGGGAGCAAGGACCTCCGAGCTAGGGGTGTAGACGAGGTGAACGGCGAGGAAGGTTGCCCTTCTGAGCCGCTTCATATCGCAATACAACTGACTTTGCTGTCTTGAGCAGGTCTCTCCTGTAGAACCATCGGTTCTTAGAAGGGGGCTGAACAACAAACCTGACAAGATACTGCCGGTCGGGGCCTGTGCCCCACTCGTCCTCAGTCCATTCCACGTCATATCCCTTGCCAGGGATCGGTGGACCGAATTGAGGGGGCCGGTCTGGGAATGCATCAGCTGGCGTGAAAGGCAGCAGCTTGGATGCATGGAAGACCGGGTACGTGCGTAGATGCAGTGGGACGCCGATGACATACCACAGACCGAAGGGATCAGCGCCCACTGTATCTAGGACCTGCCATGGACCCAGGTAACGTGGCAACAGTTTGGGAGAGATATCCTCCTCCCTCGACAACTCAGAGCTCGCCACCCAGACATGATCACCAGTGCGAATGGGGGAAGGCCGCCTGTGGCGATTAGCTTGTTCAATCATAGCCTTTTGGGCTTTGAACAAGTTTGCGTGGGCTCTTTCCACATCTAGACGATAGCGTCTGGTGAACTCTGTTGTGCCTGGTGTCAGATCAGGCTTAGCCTTATCGATGATATCATCGAGAGGTTGTCGTGGTTCACGTCCCCAGTGTAACCGGTAGGGACTGAACCCTGTCGAGGAGTGGACAGACATGTTATACATGAGTTGTGCCCTCGCTAAGTGAAGATCCCAGTCCTGCTGATCTGGAGAGATGACAGGACGCAACAGCTGGAATAAGACTTGGTTCATCACTTCAGCCAAACCATTGGCTTCAGGATGGTGACCAGAAGTCATGTCCAGTCATGAGTGCAGATAGTCCTTGCAGTAGGACTGCCACTCATCGCTGCTAAACCTGGGGTCTCGATCACTGACTATAGAAGTGGGCGGTCCATGGTGTGTGACCCACCTCTCAGAGAAGTCTGCTCTCACAGCCGGTACCCTAGCTACCTCTGGCAAGGGGATGAAATCTGCGTATTTGGAGAACCTGTCCACACAGACCATAACCTGACGCATACCACGAGGGGTGGTCTTGCCTAAATCTGTGAAGTCTATCAACACAGATTCAGCAGGGCCATCAGGTATGGGTAATGGTTTGAGCAATCCCAAAGGAGGTTTACGCTGAACCTTGTTCCTTTGGCAGAGCTCACAGGTATCCACATAACGCAGCATCTCACTCCGCATCTCCTTCCAGAAGAAGCGCTGCGACAGGGCTGCATAAAACTTTAGGAACCCAAAATGTCCACGGGTATCGTGACACTCTGACATCAGCAGTGTCCTGAGCCGCTGGTCCTAAGGAATGCACAAGCGCTCCTCACCTCTCCTGTAAGTATACAGCAGGTCTGAACTCAGAGCATAGCCTGGTTCAGAGTTAGGATCTGCTTGCAGACTCCTGACTATGGGTCCAAAAGTCTCGTCCTGAGGCAACAGACGAGCAATGGTCTGACGGGTCTCCTCTCCAAAGGAGTGAGTAGAGGAGATCAGAGCAAAAGAGTCAGGCCTACGAGAGAGGGCATTTTCTACCTTATTGTAGCAGCCCTTCTTGTGCTTCAGTTCAAAGTCAAACATGTCAATGAACTGAATGTACCGTGCCAACTTATCATCCACTCTCCCTGGGACTTCATCCACTGCAGGGTGGAGTGATCTAAAAAGATCTTGAAGTGCATGCCCAGGAGAAAGTGCTTCCAATGTTTCAGGGCACAGACAAGAGCATAAAGCTCTTTCTCGTAGGTAGAGTCCTGGAGCTTTTGAGTTTTGATCTTCTTACTCATAAACTCTACAGGCCGTAGACCATTCCCATCATCCTGCTGAAGAACTGCCCCAATGCCATACTGACTGGCGTCAGTAGTCAGGATGAATGGCAGAGTGGGGTCAGGTAACTTCAGTACAGGCGCACGAGTCAAGGCCTTCTGGAGTCGTGTGAAGGCCAACTGACAGTGGAGGGACCAAAGAAAGGGAGTGTCTTTCTTTGTTAGGTTAGTCAGGGGTGCAGCCATTGCAGAAAAGTTCCTGACAAACTTTCTGTGGTAGGAGGCCAAACCCATGAAGGACCGGACATCCCTCACTGTCTGAGGCTGAGGCCACTCCTGAATAGTAGCAATCTTGGCTGCTTCAAAAGCCAGGCCATCTCCAGAGATTACATGACCCTGATAGATGACAGAGGGAACTCCAAAAGAGGACTTTTCTCTGTTGATCTTATACTGGCTGTCACGTAACGACTGAAGAACTAGAGCCAAGTGCTCCGCATGTTCCCTGGCAGTTTTGCTGAATACTAGGATATCATCCAGGTAGGCAACCATAAACTTGTCTAGTTAAGGCCTGAAGATGCGGTGCATCTCTGTCTGGAATGTGCCTGGGGCATTGCAAAGTCTGAATGGCATGACCAGGAACTCGTAAGTCCCATACCTGGTCTTGAAGGCTGTCTTGTAGACATCCTCCTCTACCATCTCAATCTGGTGATAGCCAGATTTGAGGTCGACTTTGCTGAACACTGTGCAGCCCTGCACCATGCCCAGGAGGTCATCGATCCTAGGAAGTGGCTCAGTACTCTTCCTAGTGATCTTGTTGAGACCCCTGTAGTAAATGCACATCCTGAACTCGCCGTTCCCTTTGGGTACAAAGAGAAGAGGTGCAGCGAATTCAGATGTGCTGGGTCTGATCCAGCCTTTGCTGGTCAGGGTGTCAAGCTGCTTTCTGAGCTCCTCAAGCTCAGCAGGGGACATCCTGTAGATGCGGCCCTTGGGAGGAACCGCTCCAGGCAGCAGCTCGATGTGATGCTTGGTTGGCCGGTTGGGAAGTCCAAAGGGCTCCTGCATCAGATCAGCATACTGATCTACCACCTGTTGTATCTCAGGAGGACAGGAAAAAGGGGAAGCATCTATTTGCTTGACCAGAGCAATAAACAGACGCTCATGGTGGTACTGGCGAGAGCGAGCATGGAACTCCCTCTCTCTCGGGCAGTAGCAGGAGGTCTTAGGGTGGTGATCAGCAGCGATCATGCATTGCTGATACACCCCTGGCTGTCTGGTAGTTCAACTCTAGGGATCTGCCAGTCGATCCTAGGGTTGACTGCCCTCAACCACTGCATAGAGAACACCAAGTCACAGGGAAGCTCAGGGAAGACGTAAAAGTTCAAACTGTGTTCGACTTTTCCTGCAGTATGGAAGGTCACAGGGATACCCTTGACCTTCTCCCTGATGCTGAGTACTGTAGAGTCACCAATTCGCACCAGCAGCGGTTGCTGCAGCTGCTGAACTTTCATGCCCAAGTGCAACTTCTTAACTGCACTAGGGGACATAAAGTTCCTGGTGGCCCCGCAGTCCAACAGCCTAGTGATCCTGGTGCTGTTGATCAGTGGCCAAAGCATGATGAGTTCATACTTGCTCTTCTTCTGTTCTTTCAGATGAAAGAAGAAGGCTGCAATAGACTGAAGCTCATCCTGCCCCGGGTCCCGATCTGGGTCAGGATCCTCATAACAAAAGGATGCTGCCCGCGCAGTCCCCAAACACACATCATCATCATTAGTCTCAACTGAAACAGCTGCAGATTCACCTACCTGAGTAGATGAAGATGCAGCACTGGAGGGAACTGCAGTCCCCAGGGTCTGTTTCAGTTTGTTGACTGACTACCTGGGCCTGGCATGTAAGGGCAGTCCTTCAGGAAGTGCTGGCCCTCACACCTCAGGCAAACCCCTCTCTCCTTTCTTCTTCTCCAGACTCCCTCCTCGATCTTGAGGTCATGCCAGGGGAGTGTGGAGGGATTGAGAGGTTAGGGCGCTGGGAAGAGGAAGGTCGACGTCCCTTATCCTTCCCCTTAGTAGTGGTTGAGGCTGTGGAGGGGGAGTACTTTTTCTGCGCTTGCAGAGCTCCCAACACAGCCTGAGTCACCACTGCTGCAACATCTGTCTTAGCAGCAGATCTGGTCCCACCTGAAGGCACATCAGGTTGGGAATCGGTATCTGATCCTGAGGCAGACCCCACGTGAGTAAAGGCTGCCTTTCCCCTTCTGTTGCCTCTAGGGAAGGCACCTTTCCTCCTGTTAGAGGTTGGGGCCTGGACATGGACCTTGGCCTCCATTTCCAGGGCTGCACGGCCAAAGGACCTCCAGTCCTTGTGCCCAACGCTGTAGAGTGCAACAACGAACTTCTCAGGCGCTGCCCTGGAAAAGCTGGTCAACATATCATCAGGTGCCATGACCAACCCAGGGGTGGAGGTGAGCTGCTCGAATTCAGCAAACAAGGCCTTGCGGGCAATCCTGTACCGCTGCTGTCCCAGGCGAGCAATCCTGTCAGCAGCCTTGCGGGCCCGTTCCTTGTCTGCAAACCGGTCCTCCAGGGCCTGCAAAAGTCTGTCTACCCCCAACCCAAAGGCCCAGTCCTCCATGGACTGTTGCAGACTGCTGGAAGTTGACGTGGCCCACTTCAGTGTAGGCCCTTCATGCAGCCCCAAAACAGTTGCCACCTTGGTCTGTTCTGCACAGACAAAGCCCCTCAAGTAGGCTGCGATCACAGCAGCCCAGTCCCCAACATCAGTCTTGGGGTCATCGCCCCTGAACTTGTTGGGAGCAGGGATCTTGGGACCTCTGTCTGCTGCAGTCACAGCAGCATAGGTGGCCTTTACTGAGGCCTTTTGGGAAGGGGTAGATGACCGGGAAGAGTGTGCAGACCCAGCATGAGATGGGCCTTGAGAGGAAGGGGGTGAAGAATGAGGAGAAGATTTGGGCTGCAGAAGAGGGAGCTGAGGAGTAGTCAGCTTGGCGGCTGCAAGCTGAACAGTCAAGCCCTGAATAGACTTCAGGATCTTGGTCTACTGAGCTGACAACTCGTCAACCCGACGCTCCAGCCGCACAAAACGGTCATCCCAGTTTGTGAACTGGGAGCTGGTGATCTTGTGCTCCAGCAAGATCATCTCAGCCATATGCTTCGTGATCTGGGCACAACGATCATCGGTGAGCGACCTCTCTAGTTGCTGCAACAGATACTCCCTTCTGGAGTGATCTGTTGCAGCCTCTAGCTCAGCAGCCTCCTGCCGTTCCAATTCCGCTACTCTAGCCTGTTGCAGCTTGAGCTGTTGTTCTGCCTCCTTCTTCAGCCTCTGAGTAGCAGTCAGAGGTGGAGGAGGGGTAGTGGAGGTAGAAGACTGTTCACCTTCTGCCTTCACCACAACCTCTACCTGTGGCTGCTGCTCATTTCCCTGATCCGACATTTTCCCAGTTCAAATAAAAACCAAAAATAAAATAACAGCAGACGTAGCTGCAGCGATACTCAGATTCCTGCAGATACACTGGAATCGCTGCCGCAACTCAACACTGGAATAGGTGGGTGTACAGGCAATCAACGGTCTGGGTTAGAAGGGTGTCTCTTGGGTCAGGTGTCAGACAGACTGTAAGCCCAGCAAAATCAACCACACGATTTCCTTTTACTGACCCTGGACCATGCTGGAGTTAGTACCGTCACTCCACTACGTTTCCAGAGACCCATTAGAATTTCCAGTGCCCACTAGAAGACAAGAGTAGTCAGTGGGAATGATAGAAAGTGGTTAGTACAGACAAGAGAGATCAATCACAACACGCGATGCAGACAGATACCCCGTATCCTGACTCAAACTCACTTTCAGACCCTGATGACTCTGGCGGCCATACCCTAGGGTATGGCGAATTCCAGTTTTCACTGTATCCAGTGAAATACTCAAAATCCAAATCTGTGATTTGACAGTACTGACTGTTTTCAATTTACGATTCATTGGGGACTGACAGAACTGAATTCTGACAGACAGAATTAGAGTTATGACTAACCCTAGATAGCACAGGCTAAAAATAGACTCAGCGCAAAACTATAATTCACAGAATCACTACCTTTCAGTACAGAATTCACTGTTTGAGCATCCCGGGACAATCGCAATACAATATAGCAGTCACAGAACCAATTTGGATCAGAAAGAGTCAACAGAGGATGAGATATGAGCAGAGAGAGTTAGGGAAGAGATGGCTATGGCTGTCATGCAGTCTGCGATTTTCATATCCAGTCACTGACAGACAGATAGACCCTTATCCTTCACTAATCTACTACTATCTGGATCGCAATACAGGTAGGTGCATGGAACGGACTCACTTTCTGCGAATCTTGCAGGAGATGATGAAGATTTGGCTATGGCAGATGAAACCCTTATCTCGCCAATTTCCTCCAGAGCTTCTTCCTGACAATCCCACGCACAAAACTGCTTCAAAATCATTGATCCTCCTCAGGATCCTGTAGCGCTGCACTCCCTTACTCCAGATACCCTGTATCTGGTCTTGTGGTACCCAACTCGCCAACACCCAAAATATCTCCCCACAGTGTCAGGTAGCCGCTGATGCTAAAAATAGCCCCAGATGGGGTTATTCTTCATGGAGATTGCTATAGTAGGTCAATCTCCCTCAGCACAACCCAGGGATGATGTCGCTCAGGGTTCCCTGATGTCCTCAGGGGTAACTCGCCACTCTGGGGTAATTCGCTGTATCACCCTCAGGGTTGGCTATGGCGAAATAGTCCTGTACTCGCCACTCCCTCCCAAGCGCTCTGACAGGCTCAGTGCGCTTGTTCAATGCAGCCACTGAACACTTGAATTCACCGCTGAAAGTCTTCTTCCCTATTGACTCAGTACCGGGGAAGATGAATCACCATGAAACTCTCGCCACTATATCGCCAGGATGAAGAAGATGCCTGAGTGCGCTCAACCCTCAGTGCTCCAATTCCAATCTTGCTCCGATACCAACTGTTATGAACTTGGTTGTCTGACGAATTTTCTCGCCACTCACACACAGACAATCTCACACATGCCCATACATGCATAAGAGAGGGGAGAGAGGAGACAGAGTCCAAACTGCACA